AAGAAATCAAAAGATACCGTGAAACAAACAAACAAAAAAATGAGGACACAACAATCCAAAATCTGTGGGACACTGGGAAAGCAATCCTAAGAGGGAAATTCATAGCCATACAAGCCTATGAATTTCCCAAGAACAACAACAACAAAAAGCTCAAATAAACAATTTAACCTCACACTTAAAGGAACCTGAAAAAGAACAACAAAGCCCAAAGTGAGTAGAAGAAAGGAAATAATAATTGGAGCAGTAATAAATGAGTCAAAAAATGATACAACATATCAATGAATCCAAGAGTTGATTCTTCAAAAAGATAAACAAGACTGACAAACTTTTAACCAGACTCATCAAGAAAAAAGAGAAGACCCAAATGAATAAAATCAGAAATGAAAGAGGAGAAATAACAACTGATAGCAAAGAAATATAAATGAATGTAAGAAAATATGAACTATATACCACAAACTTGATAACCTGTATGAAATGGATAAATTTCTAGCAACATACGATCTTCAAAAACTAAATCAGAATGAATCAGAGTCTGAAATTGAAGTTATAATAAAAAAAAAACTCCCAACACAAATGCCCTGAACCAGATGGCTTCACAGGTGAATTTAACCAAACATTCCAGGAAGAACTAACACTGCTCCTTCTCAAACTCTTTCATGAAATTCAAGAGGAAGGAAGCTTCCCAAACTCATTTTATGAGGCCAGCATTATCCTAATTCCAAAACCATACAAAGACACTACAAAGAAAGAAAATTATAGGCCAATATCCCTGATGGACATAGATGTTAAAATCCTCAACAAAATATTAGCAAGCCAGTACAGCAATGCATCAAAAACTTAATATGTCATCATCAAGTGGGATTTATTCTCAAAATGCAAGGTTGGTTCAACAATCGCAAATCAATAAATGTGATTCATTACCTAAACAAAATGAAGGATAAAAACCACATGATCATATCAATAGATGGAGAAAAATCATTAAATAAAACCCAGCATCCATTTATGTTAAAAACTCTCAGCAAAGTGGGATTAGATGGAATATACTAAACATAATAAAGACCATATATAACAAACCCACTACCAGCATCATACTAGACTTGCAAAAACTACAAGCATTCCCTGTAAAATCAGAAAAAAGACAGGAATGTCCACTTTCACCTCTCTTATTCAACATAGTACTGGATGTCCTAGCCACAGCAATAAGACAAGAAGAAGAAATAAAAGGCATACAAATTGGAAAGGAAGAAGTCAAACTGTCATTATTTGCAGATGACATGATACTGTACATGGGGAACCCCAAAGAGTCCACCAAGAAACTACCTGAACTGATAAATGAATTCAGCAAAGAAGCAGGATAGAAAATTAATATCCAGGAATCAGTTGCATTTTTATATGCCAACAACAGACTAACAGAAAGGGAAATTAAGAAAACAATCCATTCACAATTGTTACAAAAAGAATAAAATACCTATAAATAAACCTAACCAAGGATGTAAAAGACCTGTACTCAGAAAATTATAAGACACTGAAGAAAGAAATTGAAGATACAAATAAGTGGAAGCATGTACTGCATTTCTGGGTAGGAAGAATTAACATCATTAAAAAGTCCATACTACCTAAAGCAACCTATAGATTCAACACAATTCCTATTAAGATTCCAATGATGTATTTCAAATAACTAGAAGAAATATTTCAAAATTTTATACAGAACCCCAAAAAAACCCACATAGCAACAGTGATCCTGGGAAAAAAGAACAAAGTTGGAGGAATCGTACTACCTAATATGAAACTATGCCATAAGGACATAGTAATAAAAACAGCATGGTACTGGCATGAAAACAGACACAGAAATCAAAGGAACAGAATAGAAAGCCTGAAATAAACCCTCACCTTTATAGTCAATTAATATTCAACAGACAAAGCAAGCACATACAGTGGGCTAAAGATAGTTTATTCAATAAACGGCATTGGGAAAATTGGATAGATACATGTAGAAAAGTGAAAGTATACCACTTTCTTACACTACACACAAGAATAAATTCAAATGGATCTAAGTCTTAAATATTAGACCCCAAACCATAAAAATCATAGAAGAAAACATAGCAAAATCTTAGACATTGTTCATAGTAATATTTTATTGGATATAGCTCCCCTGGCAAGGGCCACAAAAGAAAAAATAAATAAATGGAACTACATTGAACTAAAAAGGTTTTGCACAGCAAAGGAAGTCATCAACAAAATAAAAAGATAACTCACAGAATGGGAGAACATATTCACCAATACATCTGATAAAGGGTTAATATCAAAAATTTATAAAGAATTTACAAAACTCAACATAAAAAACCCCCAAACAATCCAATTAAGAAAGGGCAAAGGACCTGAATAGACACTTCTCCAAAGAGGACAGTCAGATGGCTAATGGACATATGAAAAGATATCATCAGAGAAATGCAAATAAAACAACAAGATATCATCTCACACCTGTCAGAATGGCTATCAATAAATCAACAAACAAGTGCTGGTGAGGATGTGGAGAAAGGGGAACACTTTTGCACTGTTGGTGGGAACGCAGACTGGTGCAGCCAGTGTGGAAAGCAGTATGGAGATACCTCAAAATATTAAAAATGGATCTGCCTCTTGACCCAGCAATCCCACTTCTGGGAATATGTCTGAAGGAGCCCAAAACACTAATTCGAGAGAATATAAGCACTCCTATGTTCATTGCAGCGTTATTTACAATCGCCAAGATATGGAAGCAGCCCAAGTGTCCATCAGTAGATGAGTGGATAAAACAATCATGGGAAATTTACACAATGGAATACTACTTGGCCATAAAAAAGAAAATTTTACCCTTTGAGACAGTATGGATGGACCTGGAATACATTATGCAAGAAATAAGCGTCAGAAAAAGACAAGTACCATATGATTTTGCTCATATGTGGAATCCCATGAACAGACTGAACTAACAAGCAAAATGGGGGCAGACCCTTAAATGGACAACAGGATGACAGGTATTTGAGGGGTAGGTGAGGGGGTGGAGGGATTGAGCAAAAAGGAAAAAGGACTCATGGACATGGACAGCAGTGTGGTGATTGCTGGAACTGAAGTTATAAGGGGACTAAATGGTAACTGAAAAAATACAATAAAGATTAAATTTTAAAAAAGAAACTTTTCAGGCTAGAAGACATTGGCAAGAAATATTCAAAGTGATGAAAAGCAAGGACTTACAGCCAAGATTACACTAACCAGCAAAGCTATCATTTAGAATCAAAAGACAGGTAAAGAGCTTCCCAGGCAAGACAAAGCTAAATGAATACATCACCACCAAACTAACATTATATGAAATGTTAAAGGATCACCTTTAATAAGAAGATCAAGAATATGAAGAATAAAATGGCAACAAATAAATATCTATCACCAACTGAATCTAAAAAACAAAATAAACAAGCAGAACAGATACAGAATCAGATACAGATAATACTTTGATTGTTGCCAGATGGGAGGCAGGTTGCAGGGGGATGAGCCAAAAAGGTGAAGGGATTAAGAAGTACAGACAGATTGGTAGGCACAGAATAGCCATAGGGATGTAAAATACAGCATAGGAAATAGAGTAGCCAATGAGCATATATACATGACCCACGGACATGGACAATGGTGTGGGAATTGCCTGAGGAAGAAGCATGGAGGCTTGGTGGAGGGAGGCAAAGGGGAAAAAATTGGGACAACTGTAATAGCATAATCAATAAAATATAATTAAAAAGTTACATTTTTTTATATAACTAAGTTAGTTGCAGGTATCAGAGTCAGAATGCAGTCTAGACTGTCTGACTCCAGAGCCCAAGCTATTAACCATTAGGAAATATTACATCCCAAAAGAAATGAAAATCTATGTAAAACTGATCTAGTCCTAGACAGGACTAAACTTGGGAACAATATTAGGTGCATTCTACAGATTTGTTCCAAAGCCATTAATTTAGCACCGTACAAATAAACATAACCAATAAAGCTATTAGGAAACATGTTATTAACGTCCAGAATTAAATACTTATTATTTTCCTCTGATTATAATTGTGTGTGCGCGCGCGTGCGTGTGTGTGTTGGTAATACATTTTAAAAATATTTTTTTCCTGGCCACTATACTTTGAAAAGAATTTAAGAAATTTAAGAAATTTTTGAGGAAATTTAGGGATGACTACCATGAACAATTCCTAGGTAAGTTAGAATGTATACTCCTAAAAAAGTAGGGACCATACCTATTTTGGTCATCATTATATATCTATCATATAAGTGCTTAATTTATATATATAAAACTTATAATTTATATTTTTTATATAATTCATACGTATTTTTATAATGCTTGTATATATACACATATACATCCTTCCACGTCACCCACTATTTGACAACCCATGACAATCTTGTGTAATTAAAGCAACCTTCTAACTGATGTATCTTTGTCTCCCTTTTCTCAGCACACAACCAGAATAATCAATCCTTTTAAAAGAGCCAGGTATTTCATTCCTTTGGTCAGAATACCACAATGTCTTCCTATGTCAGGAAAAAGTCCTAGAAAGCCTGGGATCTCCCCATTCCATTATACCTCTCTGACCTCCTACCACTCATCTCTCATTCCACTCCACTCTGCACCATCCCTCAAATATTCCAGGGACAACCCCTCTTTTAAGGCCTTTACATTATGTGTCCCCTGGAAAGTTCTGCCCCATGTTATCTACATGTCCCTCATCTACTTATATCTTTGCCCAAATATCTGTCCAATGAGTTTTACCCAAACCACTTTAATAATATAAAGTTGCAAATCTAACCACTCGATTATTCCTTTTCTTTTATTCCGTAAGATTTTAACACATATAATTTAATGAAGTTTGTTAATCATCTGACTTTAAAGACTTTTGCATCCCAAGTGTAGAACGGTGCCTAGCATATAAATACATGAATGAATGAATGAATGAATGAATCTTTATATCCCAGACAGCAGGTGCTCAGCATATATTTATTGAGTATAGATCATGAAATACTACATTTAGCATAGATTAGGATGCTTAACCAGAGCACGGAGCCTATTTAGATTTCAGCTTTGTAACTACAATTATTAATATACACAACAAAATCATAGCAGTAGTTACCTCTGGAAGAATAATGTTCATTGCATCAGTGGTCAAGGGGATCTCTAGCTTTATTTGTAATATTACATTTTTTCCCAAATGATGTATCACTCATGTCATTAAAGTGAGTACAGATTTTAAAACAAAAAATTAAGAGATTTTGAAAGGAACACAGCAAAAGGGAGCAGGATTTTTCAATCTGAAGGCAAAGGGAGGACATTTCGAAACTGGGTGCTTACTACTAAGAATAGAAATGGGATATTCTGAGGTAATAAATTAATGTTTCAAAATGCTAGATTTTTAAAGACATGGTCCTGTCCAAGTGTGAAAGCTAAACCCATGACCTATCATCATTCACTTTAATCTTGTGATTCTGTAATGCCTAAAAATTCTTAAAGACAGGGAGATGGGACAATCAAACTCTAACACTAAAATGTTCCTTTAAGAATTCTTCCTTAACACCTTTCCCCTCAATGCTGGTGAATTGAAGGGGCATGAATCAAAACAAACAAAAAAAAGTTTGAAAATCCAAATGTCTTTATTAGTATCACTATTAAGTATTTTAGCTGGCTTACCTCCCTCCTCTCTTTAAGTCTAGGATACCCACTATTGCTTTATTAGATTGTGCATAAATTGCATTAAGTAAATTCTGCTTGGTTTCAAGGCCACAATTTAAAAGGTTACAGTGAAAAATACATCCACTTCAGAAAAATGTATGGATATCATTGTTAAACTTCAATATACCAATTTGATGGCTAATCTAATAACTGGAAAGGTATTTGTGTAGATATCTGTGAGTCTCTTCCATGTACTTATAGGATTTTTCACAAAATTTTTTGAGATAGGACTACAGGGCTTTTCCAAAAAGGTGTATGAAAGATACTCTTCCATGTTAGAACAAAGCCTAAAGCATCTCTGTATACTTTACATAGTACGTTCACTATGTGAATTTAAAAATATGTTCAAGTAATGTTCACTTAATATTCAGTGGTATCTAGTTAGTATTTACAAAATAATTTTGAGCCAGTGGTTTTTACAGGGCAAAATGGATATATGATCTTTGTAATTATTTCCCCAAATACTATATACTTTGAACAAACATGCCACTGAAGAAATTTAACATTCAACTTGCTCATTTAATCTCCAAAAGGGAGTCTAATTTTACTGTAAAAGTTCTATCAACAGAAACATGGAAAATTCTGCATTCTCCCAAATGTGTCATCATTAGGTAAAAACTCATTTAGGCAAAATAGTATTTATGCTTCCATTTTATTGTTTTTAAGAATTAAACTGCCACCTCAGTAGTCTTAAGAGCAATATAATGAAACATACATACATTTAATTTAGACTGTGTCCATTATAGTTTCAAAGGCTTCCCTGAAATACGGCTGGAATTCACATCTTTTTTAAGGAAAGAAACACTAACAGTAATTTTGTTATCCTTATACCCCCCCACCCTCGTTCAAACAATAACTGGATGAATTCAAGTCTAACACATTTAAAAATTTTGTCTGCTACAACACATTCATCTGATCTGCCTTCTTGCATAACTTGCATTTCTTAAACCTAACTGAAAATAAATCATTTTTTAAAAGCCTACAAGAATTCTCTTAATATATGGAATTTTATCATGATGCTTTTTTTTGTCCAACCCATAGGCTAAGTGGTTTCATAACCACAATCAACTCGAGAAAAATTTCAATAAAAACAGAAGAGTTCCTCATAAATAGTTGAGCTCTAAAGTGAATTTGGCTATTCTCTTATTAATGAAACAAAGAATGGTATTGGATTTTCAACACCACTTTATAACAGTTCCTAAATAGGAGCATGAAAGGGAATCAAGTTTGCACCAGTCCAAGTACCTACAGTAATATGATAGAAGCACTCACCACCAACTTTTCACACTATTTCACTCCCATGCTTCTAATAACAAAAATTTCTCACTAGAAATATTACATTAACACTGGACTCTCAAATTGATAGGTGTGAAAAAATCACTTTTAAAAAGTATTATTAGTTATTTTTGACTGGTCACGGTTGAAATGGCCATTTATATTGTTTCTAACTTCAGCTCTAAGTTCATAGATGACTTTGCGTCTGATTACCCAAAATGAGAAACTGTTTTGCCTGTACCTGACAGAATTGAATGGTAAATTAGCTATCCGTTCACCCTTTGTCAAAAAGAAATAATCTAAATTTACACACTATAAACTATTCAATAAAGGATATCTGCATACTACACATTTCATGTTTATATTATGCACCATTTTCGGGGGGAGGAAATACTTCACAGGGGTTTATTCAAAGGATACATAATAATATCCTATGAATAATAAATTGTACATGAATTCTGTAGAAACTGAGTGGTCATCTTAGGAGGACTATAACAAGCCCCTATAATGCAAAAGCTGACTCTAAAGGCACCTTATAAAGCACTGAAATTCACAATTTAGTCGCTTTTCTCCAATACAAAATCATCTGGTAGTCTTCACTGTTGACCCCACGTTAAAATATCCCAAGTTTTAGACTGTTTAACCAATAAAAGGAAATTATTAATAGTTTTAAAATTTCAAGTTAAAGAAAGAACCCTTATCACAGTAATGAAACCTGAGCAACGCAAGTTTGTGACTACAAGAATGTCCTTCATTAATACAGTATTCAAATTCCTCCATGGCATTCAAATTGTAATTTAAAAACCAATAAACAAGACCCCACTTAAGCAGAGAATCAAACTGTATTGAAATGAGGAATTACATAAAGCCTATTCAGCCCTAAATATTAAAGACAATGAGCAGAGTAGAACACACTTCATCTAAAGAACACCATTTAAACAGGTCTATGTAACATAACTAATATTAGTAAGTGTGGTGAATCATGTGATTCCAACCATTCAGTAAAAAGCATTAATGAATAACAGCATCATCCCCCAACAGCCTGAAGCCTGTAGAGCCTACTACTTTGGCCTTATCTTTCCAAATAATTAGTAATGCCTTTAATATTACAAACATAAATATATCTTCAGTACTGGAATTTCATTGTATTTTGGTGCTCCTGAGGCTGCCTAAAAATGAAAAGGCATCCAAGTGAAGTGCATTATATACTTAATATACCTCAAAATTTCAGTGCCTAAAATGTGAAATAATTTTCTACCATTTAACAGTCTGCCTTACAGTAAATTCTAGTAGATTTTTACTTTTAGGATTTTATTGTAACTTTGGGAAATTAGTGGTAAAACATATGGTTTTAAAAAACAGTATGTGGCTGCACTTAAATTCACATAAAAATAGCATTTTTACAACCATATTGAAATTTAATCCTTTTACACAGGTTAACAAAATGTATCACAAGAAAAATGAAACTGGGTTTAACAAAAGCAGTATTCTTGAAAGTGGAACAATAAAAATTTTTTTCTAATTTTTTACAAATGGTCACCTCTGGGTCAATTTACCACACTAGGGGAACAAAGTTGTTAAAATATAGCTGTGATCTCCTGAGCCACTTATCTGCACTACAGTATAGCACTTGAAATCAATCCTAAGGTGGAGATTTAAAACATTTTGAGACAAGACCCTAAGTGTTTTATAGCCACCTCAACAAGAGGTGTTTTTCCTTCCCAAAACAGTCAAAGCTTAATTAAAAGATTGACTATACATAATTTTTTTCACCATATCTTCAGTTCAAAATACTATTATCATTGGTAATATGGTCTATATCTTGTCTGATCGGGATGATGTGGTCCAGGAAGTGGGGTCTGAGAAGGCGGACCCTGCATTCGTGGAGGAGGCGGCGGCCCTCTCGGTGCAGGCCATATACCAGGACTCATTCCCCCTGGTTGTGTAAATGGAGGACTCAGAGTTCCTTGATCTTCAGTGAACTGGGGTAAAGAGTTAGGATTATAATGGTGAGGAGGGGGTGCAGTTACAGGTGGACCACCATGTTGAGGTGGGGGAGGTCCTGGAGGAGGATGATTCATATAAGGTGGCATCTGGGCAATAATATGTCCAGGGGGAGGGGTTATTGGTGGTGGAGCAGAGGTCATTGGTGGAGGTGGAGCTTGGCTATAAACCAAGTGAGGAGTACCTGCAGCCTGGGGAGGATGTGGCATTGGATGGCTTATTGGTGGTGGAGGAGGAGGGGGTGGTGCATAATGTTGCTGTGGAGGCATAATATGATGAGGGTGCGATACCACCGGCTGACCCTGATATTCAGGGTGATGGTGAGCAGGTGCTGGGGCAGGAGGTGGTGGTTCTCTAGCACCTGAATTTGAGTCATCCTGAATAGGGACAGTTATTAAATTGCTGTGTTTTCTTGTTGAAATACGAAAGGTTTCCTGACTGACCGAACGAGGTGGAGGTGGAGCCATGGACAATTCTGCTGGAGGAGCACGAATATCCTCATGTGGCTGATTATAGTGCTCGTGTGACACATGTTGCAAAGGAGGTGGTGGCATCATGATGTGCTGCTTTGGCGGAATATGGCTCATATGGTGCTTGTCTGGCGGCATTATAAAACGATCAGGGATTTCAGTTGGCGGTGGGGCAATAGGAGGATGAACATTTTCAAGTGAAGCACGGGTAACAGGTTTTCCAGCTCTCATATGGCGGTGGTTGATATGAGCCTGTAAGTCTCTCTGAGACAAATATGTTCTCTTGCACCCTTGAACAATGCTACACATGAAGAGAGAACCTCGTGTACACTGCTCAATTCGCTGCACAGGATCACTACAGCTAAATTAGAAAAAAAAAATTGATTTACTAAGACAGACTTTAAAAATAATGCACTTAATTTCAAAGATATGCTTATTTTTAAAACTTGTTATGGAAAATACTGCAAAAGTTCACAATTAAAAATTATACTGTTAAGTCAACCTTTAATCTTTCCCACTTTGTTCACTATTAAGTGTCAGCTTCTAACAACTGCAGAACTCTTAATTCAAGAAAACATTGAAAGTGTATCAAAGAGATTATCTCATTTTCTCAAACAATTCCATGCTTTGTGTCCATTTGCAAAAAAAGAAAAAAGAAAACCCAGGAAGTGCAAACCAAACATCACAATCATGGAATTCAAACTTGTATAGTATTTGACTAACAAGTATTTGCTGAGCAAACATTAAGTGAAAGAACACTAAGTGAAAGATGCTGCAAGGACTACTAAAACAAAACCATCCTAACATCAGGTTCTTAAAATTAAAAAGCATAAAATTTAAATTCAAACCCTGGCTATCAAGAGTCTCTTACAGAAGGGATCTTTTTGGATGGTCAAATTTACTACTAAAAATCATTACACACTCCTGCCTTTCTAAACTGTAAACACAAATTTTAACTCGGTATTTTAACAACTCAGGGTCAAAATTGTTAACTATTCTTCATTCTCTATGGTTAGTCTACTCTTGCCTTTAGAATCTTCTGAAACAGAAGAGAACTAAACCAGGAATCAAAAAAATTGGGACCCAGCTAGCTATGTAATCTTGTAGAGGCCATTTAATCTGTTTCTTCATCTATAAAATGGGTTAAAACATCTACTCAACCTAAGTCATTGTTTTTTTATCTGCTTCACCAAAGAGTATCCTTAAATCAATGAAACAATAGAAATGACACTATTTAATCACTAAATACACTATACATGCATAACTATAAGGTAATATCATTAAATATGTATGTCAGGTTACTTGACACTATATTAAATAGATCTGTATTCTTTTTTTAATTATTTTTATTTTTTTAATCCTCGCTCAAGGACATGCTTATTGATTTCAGAGAGAGAGAAGGGAGGGAGAGAAAAATCAATGTGAGAAACATCCATCAGTTGCTTCTCACATGTGCGCCAACCCAGGATGGAACCCACAGACTTTAGGTTCATGGGATAACACTCTAAACAACTGAGCCACTCTAGCCAGGGTGACTCTATATTCTTGACTTCTGAGTTGTATCTGTATTTCCATCCTTGTCATAAGGCTGGTACTCCTTGAAAGTAACAGGCTTCCCTTTAATAGCCATTTGACACACTTCTCACTTTTTGCTTCTTTTCACTGTAAGCTCAAGAGTGTCTCCACAGTAACAGGATGTGAGGCACTTTCTTTGAGATAATGCTTAAAAGCAGTAGTATATAATAGTTACATTAACTTGGATTGCCATTTCTTTACTTCCTGATGTGGGTCTGTTAGTCCAGACAGGATATGCTCTAAGAAGCTAAGAGTCAATCAGTGAGGTGCTTACTGGAGTCACATTTAATAACTTGAAAACTAAATTTCCTTTTAAATATTAACATTAAAACATTTACATCAAAGAGAAAAGCTTTTAGTGTACTCTACCAGTGTTTTACAACATCTAAAAACCCTTTATCCCAATGACATTATCAAATAAATTTACTATATAATTTTATGCGACTGAACACCATGTTGGTAAATTAGGCATTAGAGAAAATTAGGCAAACAAGAGAATATGCACTGTTAATTTCATAATCCTTCTGAATTATAATTCTACAAAAGGAATATTATTTAAATTCATACTACAGATTTTATAATTTGTGACTTTAGAGAGCTAATAACAATATGCCTAGACAATCAGTTTTTACTGGTTTGTTAATGAATCATCCTTTCTCAATGATGCCAGTCTTCCTACAACCATAAAAGGAAATTGTCCCTTACAATTGTTCAAGGCTTTGCTATCAACCAAAAGAACAATTATTGGGATAGCTTCTGACACAGGTTAGAAGGAATCTAGGACAAGAAGTGTCTCTCAAAGCTTTCCTCAAGCCTTCTATCAAGGGTTCTACATCAATATAAAAATCCCTAATTTAATGTGGATCCTTCAAGACCATTCCAAAATGAACCAATGCCTCTAGATCTTCATAACTTGCCTGAGTCTATGCCATGATGATGTTCTAAGATATGCTCAAGACACAATAATCGAGTTGGAAGGTAATAAATAAGAGTTTATACTTACATATAGTACTTACTACATGCTAGGTAATATATAGATATATATTACATATACAATAATATATTATTAATTCTAATAATAACCCAACAAGGTAGGTGCTATTATTAGCTCCATTTTACAGATGAAGAAACAGTCTACAGGGTCTGGCAGAAGTAACACCTGCTTGAGTATGGTTGTTGGGTAATAATATGGGTGTAACAATTTATAGTTTGAATTTGAACATTTCACCTAAAATGTCTTATCGTATGCTTGAGTGTGATATTGTTCAGTTAGACTTACATGCTTATGATTTTGTAATAAAAAGGGGACGTTATTTGTGCCAGACCCTGTATATCACACAGCTAATAAATGGCAGAACACAGATTTGAACCCAGGAATTCTAATTCCAAAGTCTTTGCTCTCAGTCACTATTCAAAATCACCATCTAGTGTCCCATCAAAACAAGAAAATAACTATTTTTGACTTATAACAAATTTTGTCATGACAATTATATTTTGTCAATTTGGCCAATTTGAATTGACTGATAACAGCTATCCTAAAAAGGTTAAGGCCAACTCTAGGCTCACAGAGAAAGAGTAGCCATGCCTCTACATTTGACATGTTGCTATTGGTATACATCACCTCTGACCTTTAATCAAGATTATAAATCTTTAGCACAAACTTCATTATTTAAAAATTTAATGATGATCTTACCCTGGACACATCTTATCTCCCTTTTTTTCATGTAAGATAGCACAGTCATAGCAAAAAACGTGCTTGCATGGAATCTGTGAATAGACATATTACACATATTAGAACAAATTAAAATATTTCATTAAAAATCATTAAAACAGTAAGGATAGTGACCTAGACATAGAAGGCACATGAGAATTGTTTGTTAAAATGAACATTTATTAAGTAATAATTGTATAAAAGCAGTAGCCTTTTTCAGTCACAAAGCCCTTTGATTTTGTGATGAAAACTTTGGCCCTTTCCCTAATAAATGTATACATGAACATTCATTTATACTTTCTGAAGGTATAAACCCTATGAATCTTATCCATGGTTCCTACTGGTTAAAAGCTCCTGAAAAAGAATACTGTAACCATGTTTTATTTCTTATCCTGTTCCTCCTGAAACTATTCCAAAGCAATAAGATAACAAGTATCTCGTACATTTAACATAAGTAGCATTTTCCCCTGGTAGTCTTATAGTAATAAACTTATAAAAATCTAATAAATCAGGAAACAGGAAAATGATGTTAAGCCATTTTAAAATTTGCAGCCCATTACTGTTACTTAGCTATAAAGCAACAGTGCACAATCCATACCTCTACCTTCACAAATATATTATTGAATTCAATTTTTTTCAAACACAAATATAAAACTACATTTTTAAAAGGGAGGATATGTCAAAAATGCTATAAAATTAGGTTGTAATTTTTTTAATGAGAATTCCAATTCTCAAAAATAAGTGTTATTAACTCAGTTTGAGATTAAAAATTATAGCCTTCAAAAATTAATAACTGATTTTATTCTATTAAACAAGAAAAAAAACTTTCCTTAACAAACAGAATAAACAAACAGGTATCCAACAGTCCAAATAAATTATTTAGTTTTCAAAGTTAGTTCCCATAATCAATACTTTACAAAGCAATTCAAGAGTTTGTCAAGACAATTACATTAAATGTATATTATCCCAAAATTTCTCTTAGCTATCTCACATTTATTTTAAATGTCACAAACTTAATTATTAAACAGTGATAAACCTATCTACTTAAATTTCAGGACCCTACTTCTACAAACATGTTTATATTTACAGAAATAGAATTTAATTTAATTATGCTTACCATTCGCCCATAGATCTTAATAGGCAATCCACATTTGTCACAGAAATGAACTGGTGTATCATCCTTTTCACCAAGGATGTTTATCTGTTAAAATGACATAATTAAAATTTCCTTTTTAAGCATTTCTAAAAATCCTACCTATAATTTACACAATGAATCTACATTTTATAAATGTTGTTAAAACAATTAGAAATAAGTTTCTTGGTATCCTCCCATATTCCACACCATTGGCTGTGCTACCAGTTTTTTGTTTCTTTTTTCTTAAACAGTGTCAATGGTTACTGATTTTACTTGACTTTATTAAAAATTCAAATTATTTTTGGAAGTGGTGAAAATAGGGCATTAATAAACAAATGAGTTGTGTGTGCTGAAAAACAGCAATAAAAGTTCATGCCACTCTTCTTTAAGTACACTTCATTGTTCCAATAAAATATTTAAAATACCTTATTGCTCTAACACACTTTTATTTATACCTGAAAGTCCCAAAAAAGGTGTCCAGGAAATCTTCGCTGACTTCCAAACAGTTCACCCCCCTTGCAGTCATACCGTTCTTCTTCATTATAATCAAATCCTTCTGAGGAAAGAAAGAGTTATCTATTAACTTTTCCTGTCTCACATTTCATTTTGGTAGTACATGTACATGGTAAAATAAGCTTTTCCCTGCTGTTTTTCAAAGCTCTTCTACGAACAAGATAACCGAGACTAGTTTAAACATCAGCTAGAAATTATCTTGGTGATCATGTAGTCCAACTCTGCAACTTCATAACTGAAAGTATTCCAGTAAGGAGACCATAACAACACAGAGAAGGTAAGTATAAGAGCTAGAAACTCAGATCTCTTTACTTCTATTCAAGTGCTATTATTAACCCAACTATCTCTAGTACAAAAACTTTAACTAATTATCCCCGTCATGATTACTACACAAATTTTAAAGATACAGACCATCATTCAATCTATCTACAAAAGCAGTAGGCCAAAAGACTATAATGAAACAAGAAATTCTGCAAATTTTCTTTTTATGACTTAGTAAATTGGGTATCTTCTTCTTCAGCCTTAAACTGAGCTTGATTTTAGAAATATCAACATATTGATACTTCATTCCTCCAATTAAAACCACTCCCTGGTTAATCATCCAAACAGATGAAGCCATGTATATCTACTTCCATATCATACATAGTTACAAGTATCCTCTCCTCCCCTATACTGCATATATCAGTATCAGTAAACTTAAAACAATATGAAGATTAAATGAGCTCAATTTCTCTGACCTAAAGAAAAGGTTGATGGCAATCCTCTCATCCCATACAAAAGAACCAAAAAAACAATGCGGTCTGATGGGGATTCTAGGTAGAATCCAATTAACTAAAAGTAATGGTAAGACAAATCTATCCCTCCAAAGTGCCAAGTTTCTAATGACTCTTTTGGCACTAGAAGTGGTAAACAGAGTAGCAAAGCACACAAGTTTTAACTTTACCCACATGGCTAAATTACAGCACCTGTGTATAATACACAAAACACATGGACAGAACAGATAGACAAACACATGGACAGACACACACACAGCAACGTGAGAATTTTTTAAAGCTTATAGACACTCCAGTGTACTGCTTGCTCTCGCCAATCAAATGTAGAGTTCAAGGAGTGTTCTTGTAAGTCATATCTGAGTAACTATAGGGTTCTTTTTTTTTATGGCCAATTTACACCTTATAAAGCTGGTATATTCTAAAACTCAAAATAAGAAAATTGATTTTTCTTAAATATCTAAAACTCAAAAAATTACTGAGCAGAACAATAGCCAAGGAAATTAGGAGCTTATTATAATTTTTCAGAGTAGTTCAACCTGAATGCCATCTTTCATTAAACTATATAGATATATATATATATGTATATATATATATATATCTGTATATCTGTATAGGCACCTTACTGGCACCCAAAACCCTTATTTTGAACAATGCCTAATGGAAAAGTCCAATCAATAATTTTACCCCAAATAGGTAAATATAATGTATCAAAAAATTATCTTCAGCCTCAGTTTGCTCTTATTAATAGAGATTGGTAATAATAGCTCCCCACTGAAAGGACTGTGGGCTTGGGGGTAGGAAGGGAAGATGAAGGGATACCTTAACGGAAAGGGTAGAGGGGGATTTTAGCTTTTTTGCATTACTTGGATTATTACAAGATATGTACATTACTGTGTAGTTTTAAAAAATTATTTAAAAAAACAAAAAGGCCAAGGGGGAAACCCTCCTTCCTGATAGTGCAGCAGCAGCCCTAGTTGCTATACCACGATTTATAACATTTGACTTCAAATACTTGTTTAGATGAGGAGAGAAATCCTATAATAAAGGGAACCATAATATAAGGTATAATGAAAAGTTTGATTCTAAAAAAGGAAATATACAGATTGTCAGGAGAGATAAAAATACTCGTAGAAATTTAATATATGATAATGGTATGATTCCTGTTCAAAAGGAAAAGACAGATTACTCAATCGGGAAAACAATGAGCTGTTTTACAGAAAAAATAAACAGAGCTAGCTCCACTTTTTTTCTTTTTAAATAACAGAATATGTTATCATCCATAATGTTCCAAAGCAGGGGTCAGTAAACTTTCTATGAAATGCCAGATAAGTAAATACTTACTTAGGCAATTACTCAACTATGTATGCCATTACAGTGTGAAAGCAGCCATAAATAATACTTAAATGAATCGGCATGGCTATGTTCAAATAAAACTTTATTTTGCCCACAGGCCGTTTGCTGACCCTATATAAGGGTAAAAACAAAAATTGTTTTATAATCATGAAATATGGAAAAGGCCTTTCTAAGAATGCCATAAAACTTAGAAGTCACAACAGAAAAGATTGGCTATTTCTACTTAGAATTTCCCAGTTTCTCTACAACAAATATTTTATATATAACATTCAAGACAAGTAGGGAATATATACAATATAAGACAAAGGGTCAATTTTATTAATTTACAAAGAACTCATAAAAATCAAGAGAAAGACAACCAAACAGGAAAAAAAAAAAATGGGAAAGGGACATAAACAGGTCGATCCTAGGCAAAAGAAATGCCCAATAATATAAAAGACATACAATTTTACTCATAATTAAGGAAATGTATATCAAAACAAAAATTTTGAAAAGTTAATAGTCAGTACCAATATTGGTGTGTGGGAGTATAACCTGAGGTACTGTTTTTCAAGAACCATTTGACAATATTTGTGTAAGTCTAAAAATGCACAGTATCCATCTAGTTCTAAAAGGTCCAAATCATGCCAAGTTTAAATTCTACAACATATACATAGTAAGGAATATGTACAAGGATATTAATGCAACACTGTTTTTAACAGTAAAACATTAGCAAAAAAATTGTTAAATAAGTTATGGTAATATCAACAAATGAAATACATAAACTTAATTTCTTAAATGAGGTATATCTGTATGTACTGAGAAGGCAAAATCTCAAATGCACCTTATATGAAAAAAGGGAAGTTACACATGGAAAAAGTAACTATAAGAAAGTCATGCCCTAGCTGGTGTGGTTCAATGGACTGCCTGCTGCCCTGCGAACCAGGAAGTCGCAGGTTTGATTCCCAGGCAGGGCATGTGCCTCCAAGAGGCAACGAATCAATGTATCTCTTGTACATTGATGTTTCTCTCCCTCTCTGCCTCCCTCCCTTCCCCCCTCTCTAAAATAAAATTAAACTAAAATTAAATTAAATACTCATAACAGGTCAATTTCAGGGAGAAGAGTTGTGGGGGGGAGAGGGACAATTTTACTTTTAATATTGTACTTTTGGTAATATTGTTTAGATTTTAACAACAGGCAGTGTTACTTTCAACGAAAGAAAACTAAACCAAAATAAAGGGTAGGACAAAAGTAGGTTTATAGTTGTTTTTATGGAATAACAATTAATAAATAATAATACAAGAATAAACTGCATCTCACATACTCACAAGTGTAAACCTACTTTTGCCTCACCCTGATTTATATATAGGGACAGAAAAGTACAACATGCCACAATGAGACATCAATAAAACCGAAAAATGAAGAGAGTATATAAGATTTTTAAAAGGTGGCTATAAGCAAGTAAAATCACATGGATTATTTGGAGGAACAAAAAGACTCCTGGACCTGTTAGTTTAAACAAATTACCTTCATCACCAGGTGGAGCCTTTGCAGGCATTCTGTTTATAGTCCTTTGAGTGCGGGGTGCAGCTTTGGCTTTGTTCCCTTGTTTAGAGATGAGCTTTATAGGAATTCTTCTTCGAACATCAAGACCACCCAATGATCCAGAACTATTAGTGCCTTGTAACTCATTGTCTATGTTAGGAAAAAAAAGTCGTAATTTCTTTTAGTTTTGGGGTTTTTTTTGATGGTTATTCTGCCACAAGTACTAAAGCAACATACCCATCATTATCAAGGGTTGAATATCTGGGTTCTGATTATAAATATGTACTATATTACAAGTTTAAGTGCTAATTTTCTCTACTGTGGATAAATCCTTAAAGAAATACTTTTTGAGACATGGAACTTTTCAAAAAGTTAATAAAAATTATAGAACTCTCCCTAAAAAAGTAGAAAAACTTTTTCATATAATTTCAGAGGAGTTTATAGAAACATAAAACCTTTCAAAGATAAGGGAAATGTCATAAAGTAGGAAATGCACATAAATTAGTTTTAAAAAAATAATAATGTTTTAAACATGACAAATTATTGAACAGGCTGTGTAACTGCCATTGTAGGAGATAGTACAATGGAAATTGATAGCCAAGCTGTCAATAATAAATTCAGTAAAGCCGAATTTGGAAGTAGCAACTAGTGGCCTCCAAGGCTAGTAGGATTACAGACATATTAAATTCACAATGATGATTTGCACTCTTTCTGAACAATATATAGAACAAAATTCAAAATGGGTCATAATAATTAACTGAAATAGCTTTTAGTCTACTTTATTCTATTACTTTTATAGTAGCTAACCCTCAAGACAAAATTCATGGAAAAGGAATTACAGAGACAGCTAAAATCCTGAGTTCAGATAAACCTAACTTTATCAACTTTCAACACTTCATTAAATGTATCAACACACTGAATAATATATTTTAACTGCTTTCATTCTAGTTGCTTATTTAAGTATAACTACCTACAAGCACTTGTTACAGCCAAAGGACAGACTGAATTTTTTTTTTGTTCAAGGGTATTCCTGATATTCCAAAAACTAAACAAAAAAACAAACAAAAAAAATACCAAGTTGTAGACAGCGAGTTAACAGTTCAACATTGCCCTTCATATATTAAAAGGACTTTTAATAGTTTTACCTTGGTGTATGATCTAAATACGAACATTTCATTACAAGTCCTTTTCACATCACCTTCAGTACTTGGCAGTCACTATTGTTGCTTGCTTAGCCTACCAGGACTTTCAAGAGCCTGCTGCCCCTTAATGTCTTGCTGCTTGCCTCATTCTGGGTCTGTCTTGGGTTTTTTTGGTTTATTAAGAAGCAGAACATACAGCTCAATTTCCTTTTGAATATGTCAACTAGAAACACCAAGCCCGTATCAGAAGTCTTTGGATATTACAAAGAAGGTGAGAACTAAGTATATAACTGGCCATTTAAGGTGAATCCACTTTTGTATTATATAGTTTTTTTAAAGGTGTGTTTAGAATTTTATCTTGAATTAAAGGAACCAAGAAATATTTTACAAAATTTAGGTTACAGTTACAACTAGGTACTAATTCTCAGAATGAGCAAAGAATTAATCAAGTGTTAACTAAAAGTTTCTTGGAGAAATTTTTCCAGCAAAACTCTATTAGAACACCACAGGATAGCCTTCACTGTAAGTTTGACTTTTCAGCATGATCATAAAATCGGTCATTTCTTCATAATCTTCCAGGGTTTCAGCAATCTCAAGGGCAGCTCTTAATCCTTTGATATTAAAATCATTCTTTTGAGATGCCTATCCTGTCCTAATGTCTCCAATTAACTGGCTAACTGGATTTCCTCACTTGCCAATGATTTCGTGATTCAAATAGTTTATGAACTTCATGGAAACCCGGGTGTTTTGTAAGAATTGAAATCACAATCTACAACAGCATTTGATACTGCTGCCTGATAGGAAACATCAAGGGTATAACAATATTAACTAAAAGAACAGAAAAGAAGCTAGCGTTAAACAGCAGGGATAACTGAGTAAGGACTAATTTTTTTAGCGGTCAACTCATTAGCAAATACTTTCATGTTGGGATGACTTTCACTTCCTTATGGCAACCTTTTAACTTAGGACAATTAGGATACTAAATACTCAGGTACACACCCACCCATATTACAATTTCCTAACATAATATTCTCTAAGCTGTGGATGGAGCTTTTCCAGCAACAGTTGGCTCAAAATGAGAAATATTTTGCTAACATTTGACGTTTGCTACTCTAACATCAAGATCCCAGACTTTCAATTCTATAATATTTCCAAACTAGTACTAGCATTCCTTAAAGCCCGTTCTAGGCCCTCTTCTGCATTCCCTTTCCTTAAGTGATATTGTCCATCCTTATGCCTTAAAATATCAACTATGTAGTACTAAGGTTCAAATACATGTTTTTCTGCCCAAATGTTTCCTCTGATCTCCACCGTCATGACATCTCCCCTTACATGACTCAATATATAGCTCTTCCTTAGCAGTCCAAAATCTTATTCTCAAATACCCATGAATCACCTCTACCCCTTAAAAAAGTTTTTCTCCCAAGTTCTCCCCAACTCAGTAATGGGCACGACCTAGCTGCTCAAACCTGAAACCTAGGCAGCTCTTCTTTCTCTCCAGTATCTCCAAACCAATCCACCAGTATGTGTTTAAGTACTACCACCAAAATATTTACTGACTCTGTCCACTCATGTTTTCACTTTAAATGGACCAACTTTTACTAAGCCAAGCATTCTTTCTGGTTTATTGCAACTACCTCCTAAATTGTCTATTTTCTATTATTCTTGCCTCCCTCTCTTACACCATTCTCCATAGAACCTATTATATTTTCCAAAGAGATAATGTTTCTCCTCTACTTCCATTCAATGGTTTCATATTGCACTTAAAATCCAGATCTTTGCAATGGTCTTCAAAGTCTTGCACAACCTGATTCCTGCCTTCCTTTCAAACTCACGTTAGAGCTCCTTCCCTCTTGCTAATAACTAAGCTGTAGTAGACTGGTCTTATTTTTTTCCTACTTGTCTTTGTATTTGCTTTCCTCCTCATTTATTCTATGGCTTGATTCTTCTCATCCATCAGATCTCAAATTATAAATGTAACCTTTCCAGAAAGACGTGACCACCCTGCCTGAAGCACCCCCCAATTAGTCTTTAACACAGTATCTGTTTACTGTCTTCTAAGAACTAATGATCTGTAAACATTTGGGATTTTTAAAATGTTTCTGTATCTTCCCCAATAGAATGTAACCTCCATTACAGCGGTAACTCAGTCTGTCTTATTTACCCTTCCATTATTCCATGTCCAGACCTACAGGACATCCCAAACAATACTTAATACAGGGAAAAGTCTTTTTCCCCTACCTGTGATATGGTTGACATAACTGTATGAGAGGCTTTCTAACTCCAAATACACTCATTCACTATTCAAAAACCACAAGGAAGCAAAAGCAAAAACAAAATAAAAACTCCACAAAACGAAGACTAGAACCATTCTTACTTGGAGAAAAAGATGTGATTATCTTCATTTTAACCTCTTCTTTATAAACGTCCCCAAACAATGAGTAAGGACCACAGCCGAAGCGCGGGGCATGTTTTGGGTTTAGGTGGAAAAGCTTCTCGGAGTACCATTCCGAACACCGTATCTGATCCCCTTCTCCCACCTCTATCTAGTCCATGAAGAACCGGAGAGACAATAACGACAGGCGGTGATCACCGCAGCACCCGCCCAAAGCTGACTGAAACAGCAGGAAGTCTCCAACCCACTCTCGCGCATCGACTCCCAGCGTAACGAGGGTTCCCCATTCCGCGATTGAAATCTACCCGCCAGTCCCCATAATGCAGGGCAAAACACCCGGGATGAGGTTTTTAAAAGATCCAGCCTTCTCTCCTCTCCACAAGGCCCGCTCCGCCCGCCGTCCGGGCTCGAAGCTCGGGAGAACCAGGTAAGAAACGGCTATCGCCGGCAGCAAGGCTGTGGGTACCACACCGGAGAGTAGGCCGGGAAGCAGCAGGCGCTTGCCAGGCACTGGGAGGGGTCTGTGAGATTTCTTTCTCACCGCCACACCCCAGTGCTGTAGGGCGAGCACAACCCCTCTATGCCCGCTAGGCGACCAGTCCCAGGCCGGCCAAGGGGGCATGGTACCGGGACCCCCACTGCCTCCGCCTCCTTACCAGTGTGATCCATGATTCGGCTCGCAGAGCACAGTGGGAGCGGAAGTCAACTGCGCCGGAGTCGCCAGGGGCGCTTGCGCGCTACCTTCCGGTGCCCGGGAGTCGGAAATAGAACCGGGTTGACCCGGCTTCGGCCTGCAAAAGCTTTCTTCTCTCGCTTACACTATCCAACTCCTGTGAGGGAGTCAGGCATAGTTCGGGCCGAGGGAGAAAGAACGACTTCGCGAACAGCTTCCCCTCACGTGCTTTTATAGAAAGGAGCCTTTAACTGTTGAAAGGAAACCGAAGGGAACCGGGGAGGGAGAAAGCGGTAGTGACTGGTGGAATAAGCTCGCGGCAGGTAAGGCAGACGCCCGCCCCCGCGGTGCGTCGCCTTCTGGGATTTGTAGTACGCCTAAGCCCTTGAGCCCGTAGGGCCAACCGCGCAGGTTCGGCCGTTAGGCTGGCCCCACCCTGTGGGCGGGGTATTGAATGAGTTTCTCCCCGCCCTGCCCCTCCCTACCCCGTCCTCGAGCGACAGTCTCCTCCCCTAGGTCTAGGAAAAGTGTAAACACGCGCGCTTCGGAAGGCGTACTCGGTTGGGAGGTTGCCCAATGGATGGCTGGCATGTGTGAAGCTTTCAGTGCTTGTCTATTGCTTTTCGTGATGAGCTATATAGACCCAAGGCCAGCGGACTTGGTGTATGTCCCCGTTGCCACCTCATTAGTTTCTAAGCATTTCAACACAGTTATGTTTGGTATTCATTGTCCACAGAAAACGCTTGTGCCGCTAGGAACCCCGAGAGCACGCCTCCTAAGGATTGGACGCATGGTCAGGTGGACAGCGCGTGCAGCGCAGCCGCCTGTTACTAGGGTACACCCGGCAATAAAGTGTGGAGTAGAACTGAAGGAGTGGATAGACGTGGGATGAGGTGGAGAGAGCGGTTAGGGACGGCGGGAAGGGCGAGGTTAAAAGGGAAAGGACTGAAAATAAGAAAGAGAGTTGCTACAACTGGCAGTACCTAGTTCCAGATCTTGGTCCCAGGGGTTTCTGGTTGCTGCTGCTTTCATCTTCCTTGGCCAAAACAAAGGAAAGTGCCAAAGAGTGGTTCCTGAGGACCTTCAATGCAGTCTCCACCTCGTGGACTTGGCTTATTTGTGTCCACTCCTTTCCCCAACCCTTTACACTTGATGCCCTTGAATAAGGAGAAAGGAGCACAGTTAGTGGAAAACACAAGCTGAAGAGTCAAGGGATTTGGGTTCTATTCTTGTCCTCCCTTGGTGACGACATCGTTACCGGGTTATTCACACTTTCAGTGCCAGAGTTCCTAGATCAATAAGAGATTATATTGACCTCTTTACTGAAATGTTTTCATGGTACCGAATTCCTAATAAAGTATGTGTAGCAATGTGCTCTATCTGTGTAGTTATACAGTAACAGCTTTGAATAATAATAGGATCAGTACTGTAAGTGTTCTGTTAATCGGTGAGTGTTTTACTGGGGATATTTTAAAAAAACACTGCCGCTATGTTTGCAGCTTTATAAACAAGTTTTTTAAGTACATACATAATTAAGAACAATTGTGAATCAAAGTTACCGCTGCCTTTGTTAAAATCTAAATTTCTGTATTACTAAGTGGCTTCCTGGATGCCTTCAATTGCTGGGCTTATTTTTTGTTTTGGAGGTTGGAGGAAGATTAACCTTTCTCTCAAAACCTCCGTTTCTCTAAATACATTACTGATATGATTGGACATTTGACCAGTTTGGGGTATAAAAGAAGGTAGTTTTCACCTAGAATGAGCTCTTTTTATTTTCTTATTCTCATATTTAACCTATCAGCCATACTTCAGATTGATGGAAATCCAGGTTCTGAAAAATATCAGTATCTGCTAATGCTAGTATTTTAAAAATTATAATGAAAAGAAACTTCAAACTGCATTTTGCATAATTTAATTAATAAATTGGGAGTTTTGTGAGCTCTTTTTTGTCCAACAAGTTATGAAAATTTACTGCCCTTGCTGGTGTGGTTCAGTGGATTGCTCACTGGTCCGCACACCAAAAGGTCGCTGGTCCCTAGTCAGGGCACAAGCCTAGGTTGTGGGCCACGTCCCTTTGTTGGGGGCGTGCCACAGGCAACTGATTGATGTTTCTCTTCCTCTTTTTCTAAAAAATAAAATAAAATCTTAAAATCTTGTGACTCAACGCCACCACTAAAAAATTATACGACCTTTTAAAAAAATTTACTGAGGGAAGACTCACTTATTTTAGACTTCCTGTTGATAAAATGTTAGAAAAGCATTTATTGAATTATTTGATTTGACACCATGCTTTGCTTTAGCATCTGTGCTCTATATTCATTTCTTCCTTAACACTAGTTGCTTCATTTTAACAGTACAGTAACAGTGTAAAAAATTACTTTCTTTACCTAAATTGATAAGTGAAACTATACATACACAGACATATTTTATTATTGTGTTTTGGTATCTATTGTTGGTGACCTGGATGCTGTAATCAGCCACAGTTTCTTTATTGAAAGTTGACATTCACATTTATTTTATAGCATGGTACTGTCCTGAGCTTTATAAAAATGAAACATTATCATAGTAGACCATCTGAAGCACTGAGGTGCATATTTTTATTAGTGACAGACCATCTGCTAGCCTCTGAATTATAAACCAATGTTCTTCAAGATGTTTTGCTAGGTCTCTATTTACATAGCACTATTTATGCTATGAGAAAAATAGGATGGTGTCAGAGAACTTGTTTCCCCCAGCGCTTGTTTGAGACTCTGTAGAAGATCAGAACATTAACCTTTATTTCCTTAATGCTCTTTCAGTTGTGTCATTCTGTAGTGCCTAAGACCGCAGAAGGTAAGATGATATGGTCCTTAACTCAAGTACCATACAGACTAGCATTTGTAGAAATAATTAAAAAGACAATTTAAGAGGGGGGCAGGGGAAAGTGGTGGTGGGACGGTGGAGACAAATGTATTTGAACAATAAAAAATAAAAAAAGAAGACATAATTCTGTGTGTTTTGAGGGAATGCAGTGTTACCTACATAGAGAGAAAATAATGAGAAGTAGGACTAAGGATGGTTAGGTAGGCTTTATAGAGAGGGATTTAAGCTGAGCCTCGATTAATAGATAGGATTTGGAGAAGCCGAGAACAGTGAAGGAGGCGTCTCAAGCAGGGAAGAGTGATAGCCCAGACATGAGAATTGTTTTAGCTTCTGAAGAGGATGAAGACCAGCATAAGTTGTACTGTTTATCCATGCTTCAAAGTACTGAGAAATAATATAAGGTATGATTGCAAAGATCCTTGAAAAGTAAGATTTTAGAGTAACAGTTAAGAACATGTCAACAAAACCTAGCAAGATGTATTTATATAAACAACATAATTCAGAGGGATATATTAAAAAACAATGATCAAGTCTTACGTATGTGGGGGGAGGAGTGAAATAATACTGTCATAGGTAAGAGGAGAAGAATTGACCAAGAAGCCAGAGACCGCTATCATGGCCAAAATGCCAGCAAATATGAATGAACTGTTAATAAGAGAAGAACTGATTGAGGTAGTAATCATATACATTAACAAGTTTGATTAAGTAGAAATGGATGGGAAAGGCAGTAGAAAATTGTAATTAGATATATGGACTTGGGAGTTACAGACAGGGTTCTGAGCCCAGCACTGCCATTTATCAGTTGTGAGACCTTAGGCAGAAGGAGGCTGACCTCCTTCATTTGTAAAATGAGGATAATAATAGTACCTACCTTGGGGTTGTTGTGAGAATTCAATGTTATCTAAAGCACTTAGCACCCTCAGGCACACAAGTAAATCCTTATTAAACTGTAGTTATTATGACCAGGGTAGTTACTATATTCATTGCTTCTGGAGGTGATAGTGAAGAGTAAATGAAATAACTTAGTAGGACACCTGGCACATTATGAAATGAGTATTAAACATTAGCTACAATTTCATTATACCTGTAATAGGGACGGTGAGGCAAGATCGTTTGGGAGCAGAGGAGGAAACCCCAAAAGCGTCACCAGAGCCAGCACCTCTCCCAGGATGGGCAGGGAGAAACCCCAGGTGGCAGATTGAAACAGCTGCTGAAGAAGACGGGCCACCGCTGAGGAGGCTGCCCTGAGGCAACTGTAAACACGGCTGGCATGTGGCTAAAGACTTTGCCCCCTTTCAGAAAATGGCAGCTGGGAAAGGGCCGAAGACACTGTGACAAACATGGCAGACATTAGCACACAATGGTTGAAAAGCCAGATGGTCCATTGCACGTGGGTTTCTGGGACGAGGCTTTAAAAAAAAAAAAAGGCATGCAGAAGTACTTTGTCTAGTCCCTGCCTCACACCCTCCCTAGTGGGGAGGGGCAGGGGAGCACTGGCAGGACCCAGCAGACACTGGCCTGCTTGGGGGTTTTCTGCCTCGCATAGTTGGGAGCCAGCATGCAGAGGCGGAGTTCTGTGCTGTGACTTGTTTCACATGCCGCAGGCCCGCGAGAATGCTGCAACCCTGCACCACACAGCAAGGGTCTGAGACTGCCCCCCCCCGCTCTTGTGCTGAGGGCAGCACACTAAGGTGTGGGCTTGGAACACTCAACAGCCATGGGGGGTGAGAATAACCGTTGGGGGCGGGGGTCCCACGGATGGGGCTTCCTCTGCAGGACCAACTGAAGTGATCCAGTTCCCCAGACCCAGGGAGAGATAGGAAGCTGCATGAGATGATACCAACTCTGGAACCCACAAATGTGCACCCCAGAGAGAGAGAGAGAGATCCTGGAAGCTGGAGAGGTGGAGAGCCATTTGTGTAGCTGCCTTGGGCTCCTAAAGGACAGATAAGCATGATGGGGAACTGCTGGGTATGGGTTTGGATTTGTCTTTCTGGGATCAAAGGGATTTCTGTGTTTTGTGGAAGAGGTTGGCTTGGAGCTGGGATACTCCCAGCCTCCCCCACCCCAAACTATTAACAGGGTACCCTGTTAATAGAAACCTTTTCCCTTCTCCACCAATCCTCCTGTTGTGTTTGCACTCGGCAGCAGGCAGCAGCCCTCAGGATGCTAGGTTATGTTATCTATAAAAATGTACTGGAGACAGGTTTTGAAGATAAGGTCAGTAAGGCTGATTTGGACCTATTAGCACACTGAGGCACGCACAAAGCAAGCATGGTATTTAACCAAGAGTGTTTGACTTCTGCATATGGGAGTCAATTGAAGTGATCTGCTCTCAAATTGGGTCAGCAGGCTTAACTCCAGCCTCACAAAGTCCCAACTTCCTCCTCTCCTTCCCAGCTCTTGAAACTGAGTCCCACCATATTACCT